TAATTTTCCACAATTGTTCCAATAAGTTAAAAATTAAATTAGTGGCAATATACAAATGAAGGCAGCCTATTTGTAAATATATAAAACATTTTGCTTATCATTACACATGCAAATATTTCAGTGCTTTATTTTAATTTATCATTCTAAGTTTAAAAGTATAAACCATACCAAATTATTCCATGAAACAGTACAAGATTTTGTCCAGTTTGCATTTTACCCTCACAAAACCTACTAGAATCCCCACCCAATAAGTTTCTCAACAACTTGTAATTTTATCCAAATACAAAGAATACAGGACAAAAAAGGAAATATAAGTAATCCAAGCAAAATTAATGACAGAATCTTTAAAAGATAAATATAATGTTACAGAATTTTAAAAATTAGATAATTGTGTCTATGAGGGATCTTTTAATAAATATTACTACTATTATTACAAGTAATGAATCTTTCCTAATATGCACAGTAATCTAGATTTGTTATTTTTTGTTTAGATAATCATTAATATTGACAGTTAATTTAAAACAGCATTCCAGCCAAAAACACAATTAGCTCTCAATACTTACAACAAATCTACTTAACCATTTTATGAAAACTCCCTAGAGTACACTGAGAAAAAGAATTGAGATATGCTTTTGGTCAAGCTGCCATACAAATTAATAACATATTTATGCTGATTGGTAAGTACTCAAACATATTTATGCTAATTGGTAAGTAAGTATTCAATAATAAAGATTGCTGAATCAAACAACTCACTGATGACCTGCTCCTTGGCTGCCCTCTCCACTCCAACACTGCAGCCCACCCATTCATCCTTCCACCAGCCTCCACTTTGAAATATTTTCTAGGAAAATATTTTGGAGTTCACCACTTTTCTGAGAGCTCCTTTCACATCTTTGTTCCTTAGACTGTAGATCAGGGGGTTCAGCATGGGAATCACTACAGTGTAGAACACTGCAGCCACCTTGTCAGTATCTGCACTGTTGCCAAAACTAGGCTGGAAATAAGTGAAAAGGATTGTCCCATGGAAGACAACAATGGCTGTGAGGTGGGAGGCACAGGTGGAAAAAGCTTTGCGCCTTCCCTCTGCAGAGCGCATCCTCAGGATGGTGATGAGAATAAACAAGTAGGAGGTAAGGATGATCACAATGGTGAGGATCTCATTGAAGGAGGCCACAATGTACAGAAACAGTTCATTCACAGTGACATCAGAGCAAGCAAGAGATAAGAGAGGGAGGCAGATCACAAAAGAAGTGGTTAATCACATTTGATCTGTAGGATGGGATCTCAAGAGTTAAACACAAGTGAATCAGAGAGCACACAGTCCCGCCGAGGTAGCAGCTAGAAACCAGCACCATTCGCAGTTTCTGGGACATGGTGACCATGTACAACAGTGGGCTACAGATGGCCACAAAGCGGTCATAGGCCATCACAGCCAGCAGGAAGATTTCAGTTACCACACACGCAAAACAAGTAGAATTGCACAGCACATCCCAGGAAGGAGATGGCTTTGTCTTTGTTTAAGATATTAGCTAGCATCTTTGGCACAATGAGTTGTGGAGTAACAGAAATCCACCAAGGACAGGTGGCTGAGGAAAAAGTACATGGGAGTGTGAAGTCGAGGGCTGACCTGAATCAGTGCGATCATGCCCAGGTTGCCCCAAACTGTGACTCCATAGATCAGGAGGAACACCATGAACAGAAAGAGCCTCAGCTCAGGGGCATCTGATAACCCAAGGAGAATGAACTCTGTCACGGTGGTACAGTTTTCTTTGTTCATGTTCACACTTTATTGAGTTTGGAGAAAAGTATTAAAAGTTAGTCTCCATTGCATGATCCCAAAGTTGTCTTCACTGTCTCCTAAAAAGACATGAAAATAAGTAGGAGAGATAATCTTTTCAGCAAATACAACATTGCTCTTGTGATGTTTAGAACATATCCAAACATTGCAGCGTACGAATGCATAGAGCTCACAGTTTAATTCACAGATCACCGAAAAGCACTCACATCCGTAAGAGTCTATGCGATTCCTTAAACTAGACCTATACAGTTCAGGACAGGGAAGTGAATCATTAGAAAGACATTAAATATTATTTAATTAGCAATATCATGTTATGAAGTTCAAATCCCTTTTTTCTTGCTCACTTTTTAGTCAGTACTGGAAAGATTGGAATCTCAGGAAATATTTTTTTATATTATACTGTTTTCCATGGAAATGATAAGAAGTATGTTTATTTAAGACTACTAACCCACAAGGGTTCTTTTTATTAATGTGTTTTAGATGGCAAAAGCAGCTTTTGTGCATTTTTTCTATGAAGTAAGCATAGTTACTTTATTAATTAGATATTTTATGTCAGCTACTATTTAGCAAACTGGTACTCTTGGATTTAAACTTCCTGTAACTTGATTCTGAAACTTTCTAATGACCTATTTGACAAATGAATTCACTGCTTTATATCTATTTGAAGAAGTAATCAAAGATGTGAATATGAAATTATTAACAGAAATGTTTGCTGCCACACTGCAGCATTATGACAGTAAAACGTAACAAGAAAGTGTCAAGCAGGAGGAAAATGGTGACACTGTGATATATACATATTGTGGAAAACTACATAGCTAGGAAAATTATAGTTTTGTGTAACTTTCATGTCTTGAAACATGACCATGCTAAAATGGCAAGTTAAAAAATAGGAAGCCAGATTGCCTAGATAAGATATTATATATACACATAATATGAATTTATATTTAATCTTCACAACACACATAAAACATAAATATTTTATTCCAATCATTTTTTAAAACAAGCAATGTAGATACTTGCTTGAATTTTCATAAAATATAACTATTAAGGTATTGACTAGGGCAGAAGGGTCAGATATTTAAAACAGGAGATGGATTCATTCAAGGCGTTTGACAGATAGAAAATGCCAGCAGAGGGTGAGAACACTGTCATTTATTCTTTCCCTCCTGACCTTTGGGAGGTATATACATGACTTTAGAGGCACCAACTAATCATTCCTGGAGGAAAGAAAATCTGAACTAAAACTCAGCACAGCCAGGTATTGTTCTCATTCTTCAAATGATTTCAAAGAGGGGAAGAAAATGTGCATTAAGAAATCTCAATTTAAAAGCAAATTATTATTCTAATGATACAATTTTCTCTCTTCAGTGGCCAGTAAAAGTGAGTTTTCTTTTTCTGAGTTCAAAGTAGTATATAATTTTGAAAAAACCTTTTCCTGTTTTCAGATCTAAAGATGAAAAGTCAGGCTGTGATTATTTACAAGCAGTGGTTCTTAACCAGGAGTGATTTGTTTTCCTATGGACGTTTGTCGGTGTCTTGAGACATTATTTGTCATCACGACAGGGACAGGTGTGGCTGACAGCACGTAGAGACTAGGGATGCAGCTAAACACTCCATGATGCAAACACCAGCCTTCTCCCCCCAGACATATACCAGTACCAGGGACATGTACATGCAGACATCAAAATATTTTTTGGCCAAAATGTGAAAAATATCGAGGTTGAGAAAACTGCTATGGAGAGACAAGCACATGGTCAAAATAAGTCCTCTCCTTTCTGCTTTAGACATGCTTCAGAAGCATATGTCCCTCCATGAACAGTCCTGAGGGACCCCTACAGCCACTCTGCCTTGGGGTGACCATCAGTGGACCTCCATGCAGGCTTCCTTGATGGAGGTGGTGTGAAAGAGTGGGAAAGGGAAGGAGCGAGAAATCAAACATTCTTCCCAACTTGCTTACACTCTTCCCTTTCACACTAAAAGCTGTTTACAAGATCTTTGGTTCCACAAATTAGATTGTTCCCATTTCTCACTGGATTGTTTCTCAATACACAAAGAGAAAATATTTTCACAAAGGAGTGTTCAAAACATGACATTTCTTAAGAAATTCTCTAGTTAACAGAAGACCAAATACATATTTTTAAATATGCCTAATACTGCTGCCCTCCTTTGCAATTCTTTCTTCTTTTACACGTGGCTGTAATAAATTACCTCAAGGAGAAAATAAGAAGAATATGCTTCCAGATCCCAGAAAATATCATGCATCTCCACTCCCTCCCCAGAAAAACAGTGTAGTCCAACCAACCAGCCTGTGGGATAAACCTTGCCTCCCCTGTTTCTGGAGATATTATGATGGAAAATGCTATAGGCTTTATGGGTTTGTGTGTGTGTGTGTATATCCCTGGGGCCCTATTTCTTAAGCTTCCCCAAACAATCATTGATCTCTGTGGGACACCAACAAGATATCAAGAAAACACCATCATCTTGGGACTCAAATAATTAATGACTTCTATGGGATATAAAGATGGAGAAATCTTTTCCAACTTGACACATATGATTATAGTGCAACACAATTCCTTCAGTGTTCATGATGAATTGCAGAGCATTGTATGCTTCATGCGAGCATTGCTCCGAGAACCGGAGGTCACACTGACATTATGAAATCTGTATACAGGTCTTATAAACTTTGCTTGTCTTGTACTCAAAAGCTCCCTCTTCAAGGACATAAGCTCTAAAATCACACCAGAGTTCTGCCAAATATCAGAAAGAGATGGGACATAATATTTTTAATACTTTTACAAGAGAAAGTCATGTGTTTATTAAAAGCCTAGTTACTCCAGGTATGTTATAAGAAAAGGGAGCCCTGGCTGGTGTAGCTCAGTGGATCGAGCGGCGCTGGCTGTGAACCAAAGTGTCCCAGGTTCGATTCCCAGTCAGGGTACATGCCTGGGTTGCAGGCCATGACCCCCAGCAACTGCACATTGGTGTTTCTCTCTCTCTCTCTGTCTCCCTCCCTTCCCTCTCTAAAAATAAATAAATAAAATCTTTAAAAAAAGAAAGAAAAGGGGATGAAAATTAATATTTATTGAGGTTATATAAGGCATTCCACATGATAACTATATTGTCTTTTAATTTTTACAATCAGAGATCAGAGTCAAGTTTAGTGTCTTCAAAGGAAAATCTATGTCCTTTCCATTGTGCAACACTAGGTCTTCAATAACTTAAAAATATCTTCAAAAATGAACCTGTGGAGATACACTTTATTTGCATCTAGAGGACAGATTTTACTAAAATAATATGCTTAACAAGAAAAGACTTTAGTGTCCATTAGCTTGCTGACTGTATCCTTAACATCTTTATTCCTCAGACTGTAGATCAGGGGATTCAGCATGGGGATCACCACTGTGTAAAACACAGACACCACTTTGACTGTGTGCCTGGAGTTTTGGTAGTTGGGCACACAGTAGAGGAACAGGATGGTGCCATGGAAGATGGTGATGGCTGTCAGGTGTGAGGCACAGGTAGAGAAGGCTTTGCGGCGACCACTGGCTGAACGCATCTTGAGGACAGTGACAAGGATAAATATGTAGGACGTGAGAATAATGAATAGTGTGCTGACCTCATTAAAAGTGGCAAAAACAAAAAGCAGCAACTGGTTGACATGAGTATCAGAGCAAGAGAGGGAGAGCAATGAGGAGAACTCACAGAAAAAGTGGTTGATGGTGTTGAAACCCTGAAATGATAGCTTGATAGCAGAACACGAGAGTATCAAAGAACACACTACTCCCCATGCATATGACCCAACCACAAGCATGGAACAGAGTGTCTGGGACATGGCAACTGTGTAGAGCAGAGGGTTGCAAATGGCCACGAAGCGGTCATAGGCCATCACCGCCAATAAAAAGGATTCAGTTACCACAAAGATACAAAAGAGAAAGAATTGTACTACACATTCCTGAAAAGAAATGGTTCTGTCTTCTACAACTAGGTTCACCAGGGCCTTGGGAGCAACGATGGAGGAATAGCAGAAATCCACAAATGAGAGGTGGCTGAGGAAGAAGTACATGGGGGTGTGCAGTTTGGGGTTAACTCTGATGATAACAATCATCCCAATGTTCCCTACAACAGTGACACTGTAGATGGCCAGAAAAATCAGGAAGAGGGGGACCTGCAGTTCTGGGTAATCTGAGAAGCCCAAGAGAGTGAACGTGGCTCCAGTTTTATTTCTCTCTGACAATATCATGGTTTCTGTTTGTCAGAATCTGAATGAGTCCTGAGAAGAAAAATATTAAGGCAAGTGAGAGTATGAAAAGCTGGGTTAATATCCCCTATCAAACTGGCTGATGAAGCAAAATTTCTTTCAGAATTTCTCTATGGGTTTATTATGCAAGTTACACTGAATGTATAATATTTTAAAACATGATAATCATTTTTAAATAGTAACAGAAGCTTAATACATGAAACAGACTGACAGCTGCCAGAAAGAAGGTGAGGGGACAGAATGAAAGATGGTGAAGAGATTAACCAAAGGACATTCATGGACAACCCATGGACATAGACAACAAGGTGGGGATTGGCTTGGGGAGGAGACAGGGTGAGGTTAGGTGGAAGTGGGGAAAGGGAGAAAAACCTGGAAAAACTATAACAACATAAACAATAAACAATAAAATTTTTTTTAAAAAAATTTCTTTAAGTAAAAATACAATTGCTGAATTAGTTTTTTAAGTTCTCAATGGTAATGTTTGATTCCTAAAAATAATATGAGATCAAGGGACTTATGGTATTTTTAAATCAAATCTACCTATAACACTTCCATCTCTCCTTGAACATGATAATTTCCTAAAAGAAAAGCCAAACATAATACAATGACAGATTTTGTCAGCCCTGAAATCAGTGATGAAAATGATAAATTTCTAAAGTTAATTTTTGCATCAGACATTCACACTATGACATTGAGAATGAACACCCCTAACACTTTAAATTTGTGCTTGTTTTGTTAATTCCATATAACACTTTAACCTTTTTCTTTATGATTCAGTAAATCTGATATTAAATCTTAATTTGTTTTTGTCAGAGAGTATTCTCCTTCAATTCTGGGAGGCCTAATTGTCAATACTTCCTCACTGCTTGAGAAATAATAAAATTAGGAGACATGATAAAGATAATCTAGTTCACTTCCTTATTCTAGAGGTGGCAAAACAGACACTGGAGGAACCTTGACTTTCCCAATGACATGCAAATTAGGACCAATCCATAGGTCTGCACCTAAAGCTCTAATTTCCAAATTCCCTGTTATGTGTCCATTTTTTAATGAAAGACTGATCCATGTTCAAGGTCTAAATACTAAGGTACTTCCTTTATTGATAGGCATACCTTTATGACAAACTAGAGATTCTCAGTGTATGAGCAATAGCCCATGGACAGTGCGCACATGACAAAGCTACACTATAAGGCACCACCAACATGAACTGAGAATGGGATTTGGAGAGACTTTTTCCTCCCAGGAATAACTAACTGTAGGAAAGAAGATTTTGACTGACAAACTTCTCTTCCCCATGTTTCTCTCTCTCTCCCCCACCTTTCCTCCCTTCAAAAAACTATAAAATATTCATTCTGTGCTTGTATCACATGTAAAGAGGGGGGATTAGAAACTTGATATAGGACTGCACTGAGAAGACATTTCATGAGAAAATAGTAATACAAAAGAATTATATAAGGAGGGGAAAAAGGTTTACAGTTGTTTGCATGGAATGTAATACAATAATTACTAAATAATAATACAAAAATAAACTTTGTGTTTCATGTACTCACAATCCTAAACCTATTTGCTTGACCCTGTATTTCTCTAATTGTTGCCTCACACCTCTAAGATCCTCCGATACCAGGAAACCCTCTCTCAGTTATTTCTGGGAAGGTTATCTCTCTTCCCACAACCTGAGAAATAGCTTCAAATGGCCCATCAATAAAGTTGTCAGATCATATGTGAGACTCAAATATTAATGCTATCTGGTCCTTTCTCATAAATTTTAGTATTAAAGACAACCTCAAAAGACAATCTATCACAAAGCCAGACATTCTAATTAATTATCACACTTTTCTTAATACAATGTTTAATTTATCTAAGGCATTGAAGAATTAATGTTATAATTAATGTAATGGTTCTTGTGTCTCAAATGCTATTATTAAATTGCTTGTAAAAATTTCTATATATTTGAGTCCAGGAAATATTATAAGAGTTGAAATCTTCTTATAGTTTTCCCCATTTTATTATAACTTTTGCTCTCAGGACCCAATTAAAGCTGGTCCCTTTTAAATTTTTTCACTAGAGTCTATTTGTTCTCTGCTTATTTCATTTTATTTACATACCTGTATATCTACTTTGACAACTCCTCCAAGAATTTATAGAAGCAAGACAGGGTACATTCCCAAAATTCTCTAAGATTTTATTTCACCCACCCCAGGCACCTGCTGTCTGTAGGGCTGTTATTGGAAAGCTCAGCTGAGCCAGACCCTCTAATGCAAAGCTGTGTAGAACAACGGCAGTCCTCTTCCTGGCACATCCTAGATACATGGCTTTGCAGTGATAAATATTTCTCAGGGACTGCATAGTTCTAAAGGGTAAAGTTGCCCCTCCACATTTGCTCTCTAGATATCATACAGTGAAGTTAATATCAACCTGTCTTTAAAATCTTAAAACAAACCTGCTGTTGGCAAAGGTAGGACCTCTCCTGATGAGGAGTGGTGCATATATTCTTATACCTGTAATCACAACTTTTGGGATATGGACCCTAGAGACTCTCTGTTGCCTCATGCTCTTGAGGTCATGAAATAAACAATTAAAATTAATCACCTTTCTCTGATGTGTATTGGAAACACGGAGCAGCATGAGGGGCATTTCATATGGAAATTTATCTCTTTATTTAAAGTCACTTACCCTAGCCCACTGCTCATTCCAATCCCTTCCTACAATTATCAAAATCACATAATTGTAAAAGTCCCTCATTATCAAGTAACTGTTGTATGCCAGAAATTACCCTTTTCCTCCACACCATCCACTCTAACCACATGGGAGAAGTGTGAGATCCATCAGTTAGGTTATCATGACTTATTGAGAGTTAAAGCAGAAACACTTAGAAAGTTAAATACTCAATTAGGAAGATGATCTAGCTCCTTTCAAATCCCTTCTATTACTCTTTCCCTTTTCTGTATTCTCTAGGTAGTCAGACCTCCTTGATACTTCTAAAAAAATTTTTTTTAAGCACACATTCCTTATGGCCTTTTTCACTTGTGTTTCCTCTACTTTGGAATGCATTCCCTGAAGTTTTTCTTCAGATGCCTCTTTGTGGTGAAACCTTCAATGGCCATGCTATTATACTTCTGGGTTAGCCTACTACCCTATTTAGTGTTTAAAGTACTTATTGTGGTACAAATACATTTTAATGCTTATTTATTGCATTTATGATATATTGCCTGTTTCCCTCTGCTAGAATAAAAGTTCCAGGTAAATGAAAATTTTTTTATTGTTTTATTCACTGATGTATTTCAAGGTCCTAGGTTAGTGAGCATCACAAAGTGCCACGAATCTTTACTGAATGAAAACTGTGATCTTCCATGGAACTGTGAACAGAGGCACATGTACCACAACTATGAGGAATTTGAATGCAGAGAAGAGATAGTTCATAAAGAATGATAACGGTGTTTTAGAAGGGATTAATGAAACTGGGCTGTCAAAATAAAAACAAAATAAAATAAAACAAATGTCCACTGTGCTGAATTTCCCACCTTTTGTCAGGTTTATTACCATAGAAATCTTAAATTTCAAAATCAAATTCAGCACGGTGAAAGTGCCTATAAATGGGAAAGAGTATCTCAAATATTCTCTTTAGAAAATCTTAAAAGTAGCTTTACCAACATTTCATCATGCCCTTTCATCCAGCAAATATTTTTGCCTATCCATTACATGCAAAGCTATTCTATTGATATATGAATAATACACATATAAATCACTTTAAAACTTTTCTCTCAAAAGATATATAACCCCTCTGTGGTAACAAGCAATACCATTGAACATGGACTGATTGAAGGATGTGTATTCATTGATCAGAAAGAACACAGTGACTATTTTGTGAACTTTGCTCTCTGGCACAGGAAACAGGGAAAGGAGGATGAGCACACAATAAGGATACATAATGACTCATTCCTTCATTCTTTTATTCATTCATTAAACCAATATTTATTACAGGCTTATCCTGAACCAGGTACTAACTTAGATATTGGGGGGAAAAGAGAAAGAATGTCCCCTTACCAATAAATTTATATTTAATGGAGAATACAAAAACAAATAAATATGTAATCATTTTCTGGTAATAAATGCTAAAATATATAATTGAAGGAGCCATTTTAAATAAAGAGGTTAAACAAAACCAATGAGATGCTATTTGATCATAGACCATTATAAAGTTATGCAAATGACTGGAGGAAGTGTTGAGTTTGGGGCAAAGGCAACAACAAATACAATTGACTGTCAAATAGACAGCTTTTTATGCATTTCAATAATTCTGCAGTTTGTGGTGATGTTCTGTACTTTCTACATTCCTTTATCAAAAATATAATATGGATATTTCCATGTGAGATTGTTTATGGCAGAAAGAAAAGGAAGGAAGCCTACTCAGTATATCTATGAGTATCCTTTAAAGATATATTTATGCAATTATGTTGGTATTCCTTAGAATGATAACAAAATATGAGATAATATTTATAGAGTACTATGGCAGTGTACTTTCATTAAGAAATTACTATTGAATAATTTCAGATCTCCAGAAATAATCTGGAATCATACAACCAATAGCTTTATCAATGTAATATTAACCCTTTAAGTATTTTGAAGAATTTCAAGGAAACTAAAAGTATTTCAGCCAATGCCATAAGCCTCAAAACAAGCGACTACAGGAACTGCTTGCCACACTGACTTTTTTCCTGTCCCAAATATATTTTTGGCAAGGCATTCCTGTGTACAGCTTGGAAGAGGGGACTATGGGAAGTGAGGACCTTTTACGGACAATGAGTCCTTGACTTCCAGTCTTGTAAACTGGAATCATTTAAAACATAATTATACTTGTAGGATATTATATTTATCAACCCACTTGCGAAGAGAACTAAGTCATTAATAGGGCTTTATAAAAAGTGTAACCACCATGGAGACAGCTATTTTATTAAATATCCATGCCAAAGTTGCACCTAACAGAAATAATACTAGAATTTTAATGTCATGTCATACTAAATCCATGTTTAAATTTCCCCATTTATCTCAAAGGTATATTTTTACACATAGTTTGAATCAAGACTCAAGTAAATTTGGTTATTATAACTTTGTCCCTGTTGTTATGTGGTTGTTCCCTCTGTGTGTGTTCATATTCCAGAGCTGCATAGTCTCTCTTTGGTTCATTGCTTCATCTGGTCTCATTTAAGCTGTTGCTTCACCAGTTCTTTTAAAAAATGATGCATTGAGAGACTTGACTTGGAGTGGTGAACACGCAATACAGTATTCAGGTAATGTATTATAGAATTGTACCCTTGAAACATATAATTTTATTAAGCAATGTCACTCCAATAAATTCAGTAGAAAATAAATTTAAAAAATAACCTTTATTAGTTCAGGTTCACTCTTAGTATTTTTTAAGGCAAAAATGTATAGGTGGTTCTGACTACTGCCAGTTGCATGAAATTATGAGGCACATGTTAACTAGTTATCTGACTTCTAGTGATGCTCAGTCTGATCTGTGGATTCAGGTAGTGTCAGCATGGTTACTTCACTTAACAATTTCCCACCCTGATATCTGAAATTCTTCTGGAAGACTCTCTGACTATATGTGAAAATGATGACCAAATCTAAAATATGTGCATGTTAAAAGCAGAAAATTATTTTTTAAATAATAAAATAATAAATGAATAAATAAAATTTTCCCAACTTTTTGCTTAATGAATGATTTTAATACCTATTGAATCAAAATCTTGACCCACATTTTTAGTTCTAAAATTGTGATTTTCTAATTCCATCTTTTTATCTGTTTTTATTTCTTCTGAACTTCCCCTCATTAACTGTTAGGTAACCCTGAGATATAATTCATAAAGGATCAACAGAATAAGTATCTCTTTTATCAATTTTCAGAGTAATTACCTGATACCCCACAGCAACCTTTAATGGTAGTCAATGATTTGTTTTTCTTTTATAATATCTAGATTTAAATGTTTAAAATTAAATGTGTTTGATGTTTTTAATTTATTTCAGTACATATTCATTTTTATGTTAATCCCAAGACATTGGAAGCCATTTTAAATTGTCTCCTATGTCTCTTTGAAATGAACCTACCAGCTACTAACAGTATTCCCATTATGTTTTCTACCTCAGACTTCAAATCACTTATTTTTCCAAGAAATTCTGGTTCTATTTAGAGGGCAAAGATTTTTCTTCAGAGAGAATTTTGGGGAATAAGGATGTTCATTGCTATTAGGTTGTGATTATTCAGTGGTATTTGTTGTAAGAGAAAAATGTTTCAAACTGAATTTCTAATTCAAATTAAGATGAGTTCTTTATTTACCTCTCTTACTTTAGAGCTGTAACTCCTCTCTTATGCCAATAAACTCAGTTACAATGATTATTTATTTTATTTTACACTAAAAAAGCATTGCATAATGGGGAAGTATACTCAAAACGTTATGTTTAAAGCCCTTTATAGAAAATGTTTTTCCCTGTGTGACTGTGTTTCTATTATAAATAGATTCATTTGTTTTTACCTTGTTGTAATTTTTAGAGATTTTTGTATACAGTTTGACATAAATGGGTGTCTTTTAAATTAAGTTAAATTCTACATTTCCCTCAAATCTAAGCTATATTTTAAGGTACATTCTTAAAACTTTTTTGCATCTCTCCTTATCTTTATCAGTTTTTATATTACCTTTCTCCGTTTTTTCACACAATTTACCACACTGTAAAAACATTTCTGCTTTTTATCTTTTTATTCATTTAATAATAAACTCTGGAGGGTTATCATGTAGCAATACACAGAGACTTTCAATCTTCACAGCTATATACTTTATTGTGACCAATAGTTTTTTCAACCACTTTGATATTGGATTTTATTCAGTCTATTGTTATTATAGATAATGCTTTATATTTTAAGCATTAAAATATAAAGAATCATGTGAATACATGATTTATATTTTAATACTCTATCTTTGGAGCAGATTCCTGTGAATGTTTTGAAAGAGGATAAATTTATATGTAATGTTGCTAGTACTTCAAATCACATGTAATAGGTTACCTACTTTCCCCAGTGTATAAAAAAATCTGCTTCCTTGCAGGTTAATTTACAGGATTTGTCATTAAACTTTTGGATTTTTTCCATTTCCATAGGCGAGAAACAGTAGCTCAGGGCAGTTTTTATTTGTATGTTTATTATTCTGAGTAGTTTATTATTCTGAGTCAAGTTGAATAACTCTTCATATGTTTAAAGTTTGTTTGTATTCCTTTTTTTATAAGCTAATTATATCTTATGTCTATTTCTCTATAAAGTTGTCATTTTTTCTTCTACTATGTGTGATACAAGTAGTGCCTTTTATTGGTCCTTTTAATTTTTTTCTGTTGTTTTTGCCAAGAAGTTTTGTATATTCAGATAATCTAAATTTTAAACTTGTTTTAGAACTGTCTCAAGGCATGTGAAATAAGAGGTTTATCTTCTTCTCACATGACCATCTATTTGTTCCAATATGACACTGTTTTAATAATAATGTCTATAATTAATTTTAAATTCTATAGGGATAGCCTTCCTACTATAATTTGCTTTGATTTTTAAGGTTTTTTTATAAGATATTCATGCTTGTTAGTCATTCATAAAAATATTATAACAGAAATTTTGAAATGACTCCTCAATATTCCCAGATAAAATGTATATTACCTTCACCTTGACCCTAACATGTATGCACTAGACTGAATAATGCTTATAGAAATTTCCAGACCTGGTAAGACTTGGAATGCAGCCTTTTTAGAAAGAATATCCACACATAATCTAAGGATATTAAAGTGACTCCAGTGATTGTCATTTCCAAGTGACAAAATTAATTTTCATGACCTCTCAGACTAATAGTCTCAGAGGTATTCTGGTGAAAAGGGCACTAGATTTGTAGTCAACTAAGTTCCTGTCTTAAGTCAATTATTTCTCAATATAAGATGACTGTCCATTCATGGAATTCACAGATTCCCAGGAAGGAAAGTATCAGCAAAGACTTATTCCTGCTTCTATCACACAGCATATACCTCTGTACCTCCCAACAAAGACACAATGCTTCAGTGACACACAACACAAATACATTTAAAGTCAAGCCACCCATGGTCAAGTGCAGTAACAAAGCAGAAAGACCTTTTCTAAGGTGAGTGAAGATCATCCTTTCAGTAACTTTATTCTCCGTATGAACCACCTATTGTGCTTTGTAGTATTTTATGTGGGGTTTTTTTTACAGAATTTGAAGAAATAAATGCTTTATAGACCAAAACCCTGTGGAATTTATCCCAGAATTAACTTCTTTGGCACCTTCAAGGGATTTGAGCTAACCAAGTCACAATATGGTAACATCACAGACATCCATAAAAACCTCATGCAAATATTTACTAAAGGTTTTAGAAGTGTTTCAGATTCTATTCCTGTTCTCTTGGGGATTGAAAATATCCTTTGAGGTTGGTTCAGTGAGATGGGACTTTTGTGTCTATGAATTTCCAGAAGGCATCCTTCACATCTTTATTCCTCAGGCTGTAGATCAGAGGGTTCAGCATGGGGTTGACCACTGTGTAAAAGACAGAGGCCACTTTGACAGTTTGCCGAGAGTTTTTGGAGTTTGGCACACAGTAGAGGGAAAGGATGGTGCCGTGGAAGATGGTGATGGCTGTCAGGTGGGAGGCACAGGTGGAGAAGGCTTTGCGACGCCCACTGGCAGAACGAATGTTTAGTACAGTCACAAAAATAAAAGCATATGAAGCGAGGATGATCAGTAGTGTACTCACCTCATTGAAAGTGGCGAAACCAAAGAGCAGCAGCTGGGGAATGTGTATATCAGAGCTCGAGACAGCAATGAGAGCAGTATATTCACAGAAGAAGTGGTTAATTACATTATACCCAAAAAAGTTTAGTTGGAGAGCATAGCAAAGGAGTACCAAGGGGCCAAACATGCCCCAGAGATATGATCCAGCCACCAGCAGGGCACAGAGCCTTGGTGACATGGCCACTGTGTAGAGCAGAGGATTGCAGATGGCCACAAAGCGGTCATAGGCCATCACTGCCAGCAAGAAGGACTCGGTCACCACAGCAGTGCAAGACAGGAAGTACTGCAACATGCAGCTAGCGTAGAAGATGCTTTTATCAGCCATGACCAAGTTCTCCAGAAGTTTGGGAGTAACGATGGAAGAATAACAAAAATCAACAAAAGAAAGGTGACTAAGGAAAAAGTACATGGGGGTGTGAAACCTGGGGTTAATCTTGATGATTACTATCATTCCGAGATTGCCTACCACAGTGACAATGTACATGAGCAGAAACACGAGGAAGAGAGGGATCTGAAGCTCCGGGTAATCTGTGAAACCCAAGAGGACAAAGACTGTCTCCACACTCATATTTCTTGCTGCCATCACCCTAATATATTTGAAGGGAGGGGTCGGGGGAAATAATTTTTTCTGTCAAAGAAATTTATGGCAATAAGTGACAAACGTCATGAATTTCTGTGGTAGATCAAAGAAAAGGAGAAGAGTTTGGGTCTTAGTTTCTTCCATATAGAACATGTCTTGTTCTGATAACTGCTATGGATGTAACAAACCAGGCTGAGTCTCTAAAACATCTTTTCATCTCCATTGCAATTTGTCTTTGCATAAGAAACACTTATCATATTATAGTGTGTACATTCACACTAGCTAGTAGCATAACATGCACATAGCTGATATGTTTGTACATGCATGCATAGTGAATCTGTGAAGACATGTAAATTGTTTGCCTCAAAAAAGTACATATATTACTATTATATTTAGCCTGTACATATACATCAATTAAAATATTCAAGAGACTATGTTTTTATTCTAAGGATAAAGTAAAATATTAGAGAAATCTTGAGCTTCTTAAGGGTCCCAAGATTTGTCATGCTCAGTTCTCTCAGAACTAAGTAATATGCTTGCTTGTGAAAGTTTATATACCAATATAAGGTGCATATAAAGAGGATATGAATGACTATCTCTTTCCAGGTGGCACATTTATTCTGTTCTTTGTGAAATGGTTGTCGATGGACTTGATGTCAAGTACCTCCATTAGGGTTAACTTCTTTCTTTAATACAATTGGACTCAGAATTGGATAACATTTACTAATATCAAAAGAAAAATAAAAGAAAACCCTAGTTATCACATTTAGAAAACATGCTCACTGTTTCATAAAAACCTAAATAAACTTACCTGCTACAGAGAAACAGGTCACCACCCCTGTTTCTTGTAAGCTGAGTGTGATGGGGAAAACAGGGCTCTTACATCGCACTCGGTAGCCCGAGGGACTCACACTCTGGAGACTCACTACCAACTTATTTCTCCCAAGCATCCAAATGGATAATTAAGACAAATGAAGGTCTCTTATGCCATTTTTAATGACTCAAATTTCTTTGAAATTACGTAGAAAAATTGCAGCATGAAATGGACTACCAGCTTTTCTTTGCACACAACCAAAGTGCCCCCTGGAATCAATAAAACTAAGGCAATAAAAATAATTGCCTTATTTCTCAAATTCTGCCTCCTCAACACCAAAATTCAGTGGCCTCTTTTGATTTGGTGGCCAGCACACACCAATTTTAGGCAAAGTACTCCAACCTGTTTACAAAGTTACTCAAAATATTGCCCATTTTTTGTGGGTCCCAAAACAAGAGAAAATTCCAAGTCCAGTCTGCAATGCCAGCTGCTGTGTTATTTTGCAACAAGTGACCCCACGTATATGATTGTTCTTGAAGTATATCAGAGATGAGGATGTGCAGACCTTTGGAGGAACTCCTCTAGAGAATTACAGGTTAGACCACCAGGATTTTAAAACAAGGTAGTAACTTCCTCTGCTGAGAAGTCTTCATGTTTTAAGAAACAGCTTTTGACTTTTTTAATAGACCCTGAAAGAGACTGAATGAGTAGCCATAGTAACCGTGTTACTGTGCAGCCTCCACCTCCTGAGCGGGATGTTGTCTCTCCACTAACCCATAATATTAGCATGCACAGTGGTCAACAGCACTCCTGTTCCTGAAGATACAAGTAAACCACATGACTAAGTGGTTCAGGTGACCTTGGTTCATGCTCCTGCTGTATGGTTTTGTCCTTCAAAGCTTGAACTTGCAGCCGTATGTGGTATTTTTTTTATGACAACTTGAATATGGAAGAAAACATCGGGGCCTTATTTTCAGATGATTCAACATGATACGCTGGCACCACACATAAGTGGACAGCTGCCAGGCTGAAGCCCTGCCCTGGGGTGACCCTTGAAAGACCATGGTGAAGAAAACACATTTAGTGTTCAGAAATTCAAACAGTGTGCCTGAAACATTGGAACAGCATTTCAAACCTCAGTAATGGGACAAGCTCGGTTGGCAATACTTCAGAGGGATGGGGCAATGGCCTGCAGGATGTGTTACATGTTCTAAATCTAAAACCAGTACATATTGCTATTTTTCCAGTAATTTATAGAACACAGAATTTCTAGGTGCAGGGGGGAAATGGGAGTGGCTCTTCAACCTGTTTACCCTTAATGATCCACCAACTAAATCTCTGCTTACCATAAGTGGAACCATGAGCTGTAGTAGTTTAGAAGAGTGATGCTTCCATTAGAGAACACAGGGATGGATCCAGCAAGCTAGAACTTTGACATGTTTAATCATGAAAACTTGTTACGATGTTAAATAGAATCTGGAGTAGAGGCACCAAGATGCCTTTCAGCTCCTACTTCCAGTCTCTTCAAACACTGTTCAGAGATTATTTCATTAGGCAGCCAGTGTAACCTACCAGCACATGAAAGACTCCATGGGAGAATACCAAGGCACCCCAGCCAACAGCCAGCACCCAGTCACCTAACTAAACAGTGACATCATTTTGGAAGTTTAACCCCAGCAGAGCTCCCAAATGATTATAGCCACCAGATGAGGCCAAGCCAGACTTGCAAAAAGATCATGCACGGAGCCCATAGAATGGCAAGAAATAACCAATTGCTTTGAGCCACTAAGTTCTGGGATGTATTTTTCTCAGCAAAGGCAAAGGAATTGTGCTTTAAGTTATCCCTTCAAATTTAAAGGACTAAGAGACTGACTTGGAAAAAAATTAGTATTTGCTTGTTTTCTTTAGAGTGATACATTATGATTGGACTAAAGACCCTTTTTTAACATTCTGCCACCTCACTCCCCTACCCCACCCTTCATGTTTAACTTGGTGATTTTCATTCCCATGCTTTTGTTTACTTTGTACCAATGTGAATATGCATACTCAATGTATATTATTCATTCTGCTTTTGAAATATATAAATGGTATTAAATGATATTTCTGAGATTTATAAATAAAAGGTACATTTTCTAATGCAATCATTTCAATGTGTATAGTATCCAATTGTATATAACCATCATTGTCAGATAGGCTATTTCCATTTTTGTCATTACAAGCAGCATGAAGCTGAGGATTTTTGTACATCCATTTTTGTGCATGTGTTGAGTTTCTCCAGAGCAGTGATCTACCATAACTTTTCATGTCATGGTATGCATTGAAAAATAATATTTGGAGAATGTGCAAGGATAAAATGAATGTTTCTTTCATATATTTTTCCAGTTTCGTCACCATTTCATTTACTGCCTTTTCTTAATTAAATTGTCATAAGTATTTCCATATTGTAAATATTGATATTTAGTCAATTGAATATGCTGCAAACTTTTCCCTTATTCTGAGGTTCCCCTTTTAAATGTTCCCATGTATTTCAGTAGAAAGTGTTTTAATTTTGAAACAGGAATATTTATTTTGATATCTGAATGTTTTCCTATATGAAAATTATAAATTCTCCTTTATTGTTTTAAGACAGGGCAACATTTATAAGAACTCTTTTTTTTTTTAAAGATTTTATTTATTTATTTTTAGAGAGAAAAGGAAGGGAGGGGGAGAGAGAGAGAATCATCAATGTGCGGTTGCTGAGGGTTATGGCCTGCAACCCAGGAATGTACCCTGGCTGGGAATCGAACCTGGGACACTTTGATTCCCAGCCCGCTCTCAATCCACTGAGCTACGCCAGCCAGGGCTAAGAACTCTTAATAGCAACATTAATACAGCAAGTAAGTATACATTGCTAACACAGATATGTACACAGATATTTTGCAAACTATTCACATATTACAGACACTTTTTCTCTGGAACTATGAATAATTACTCCTGAAATATAAATATTTTAGGTGTCATATTTCAGGAATACTGGTAGATATTATTCCTGTCTCTCCAAAAAGAAAAATGATCCCTTGGCCAGAGCCCCAAAGAAATTTAGCCAGGAAAAATGTGGAATGATCCACAAGTATTCTGACACTTATTCCAACCTACATAAACAACTTTATCCCATCATGGTGAACCAGGATCATTCTAATCCAGGATGTTATTTCACTTATATCCAGAACCCCACAGGTCTGAGTTTCTGAATCTAGGTAATCCAAAGGAATTAAACTTGCCTAAAATATTAACAACAATGCTGAATAAACTCTTCAATCTTTCCAAAATCTGAATTAAAATGCTCAAGGGAAAGATATCTAAAATGAACCTGATCAGTTTTTTAAAATGAATCTCAACTTTAATTATGAGAGCTACTATTGATGATGGAAGCATCATTTTTGTGGCCTGACACCTGTGCAGTAGCTGGGTGGTTATAGAGTGTCCAGGTAAAAGAAATACTTACAATTAGACATACAAATGTTCTCCACAGTGCAATAATCAACAGCAGAAGAATTCATGTAACCACCTATGATCACCTTTGAGAATCTTATTCCTGTTCTTTTGGCTTGGTGGAACTCAAGTGGGAGCTACATTCATTGAGGAGACATCACCCAAAAATCATACTTACCCAAGTAACTGGGACAAAATTCTAAATGGCATTAATTTAGTCTAAAATTTTTTTTCTTCCTTCTTTTATTAATTCAGCAAGTATTCATTGAAGGTCCAATGTGTTTTCTAGGCTCTTGTCTAGGCATTAGAGCTACAAGGTACAACAATAATATAAGGAAAATTCTGCCCCTTTAGAATTTACATTCTACTAGCAATAACAAATAACAGACAAATAAATTGTTGCATCTGTTAAAAATATATCATTTACTATGAAAAAACATAAATAATGTTAAGAGGGTAAGGAGTGACAATTGCATTATATTAGCTTTTCAGGGCAGAGTTATTGGAGAAATTTTCTTTTTTCTATTTTGGCATTCATTGGTGGATTTTTTTGACATTTTATTTTTATTTATTTACTTTTAATGTATTTTATTGATTATGCTATTACAGTTGTCCCAATTTTTCCCCCTTTGGCCCTCTCCTCCTGGTACCACCATTGCCTCCAGATATCCCTCTTCCTTACTTCATGTCCATGGGTTGTGCATATAAGTTCTTTGGC